CATGTACTTTTCTTCTGCACAGAAACTGGCAGGGATGATTGCGAAGAGGTTTGGACAAAGTCTACAAACAAGCCACGGCATTTCCATGTTTGTTTACTGGTTCTGTGCGCCAGGGTATGGATCTTCACCCAAAACCACAGGCTGGGTCAAAGACTAGGTGCTTTTCTTTGTGTGATGAACAAATAAGGAACATCAGCAACAGCCGAATGCCTAGATCGACTCATACCACCCAGCATGCTTCAGACTTGCCATGTTGCCTCAAACTCCACTCACTTCTGGGGTTGTCATCATTAGGTCATAAGTGGGCTTTGATATGCTTTCATCATACCTTTGGTGTACCTTTGGTCAGTCCTGCCCACGCAGAGTTCAGCGCTCTAGCTGCCTGCGTGCGCCTGGCAGACCTTCTCTCCCGAGGTCGGACACCCGTGACCTCCAGTGTTCCCAGCGTTCGCATGAAGTGGTGGCTTGGTGTTTTTGAGAGGCCTTCACCAAGGGGCTGCTTTAGACAACCGGTGTGGATCGTTGGAGCCAAATACTGGGTCAAATCATCTCACCAGTGCCATTAAGGAACCGGCACATGTCACTGTCCCAACCCTGCTTTCGATGTCGCTCTCTTGTCTCCTGCTCTCTGGCCAGTTTCAGCGCTGCGATTCGCGCCTGAGCGACGCTGGCGTGGGTAGACTGTGACCACTCTTCAAGGAGACAGCCGCCCTTGATGTGAAAAGACCTCCTGAATGTATGCGAGGTTCACCACTCTTGGACGGTTTAAACACAGGAGAGGGGCAGGTCAAATGCAAGGAAGCAACCAATTTCGGAACAACCTACACCTTCTACAGTGGAAGCCAAACAACGGTGACAACAACAAACAAAGGTGACAACAAATGCTTTGTAATATCAAGCCCGGTGAAGAATTTGTTTCTGCAACGCATTCGTTTGAACGTCCTATCCGTGTGTTTGGATGGTGAATCCTGCGACTGTTGACCTCAAACACCAGGGGACCTGCAACTGGCACAAATACCCTTTTCGAAGCTGTACGCTTTTGGAGCCTCAGTGATCTCTTGCCCACTTCCCAACAACGGGGCTCGTCCAGACGCCGCTGCGGGCTCGACAGGTGCCCCCCACATCGTGCTTGCGCTGCTGCTTGGGTGTGAAAAGCCTCAGCGGAACATCGAAGTGGAGAATGGCCAACATCGAGGAACGTGCAAAACACGCGAAACGTGAGGGTCATGACAAAGAAGGGTGTGCGGTCAGATTTCGGAACTTGAAGGCAGCAAAACCGAGCGAGTTCCGTGACACGGAACTTGCAGGAGTGTCCATGCACTGTGGGACTGCAAAAAAGCCTGGAATCCACACTCAGTTGTTTGGTTCGGTCCAGTGCTGGTGTGTGCCTGCGGCAGAATCAGGTGAACCATCTGCAAGACTAGGTAGGTGATGGTGGACATCCCTCGATCTACAAACCAAAGCGGATCTGTGTCTGGGGGTGATCGAGCTGGTACACTTTGCATCCTGCCACAAGAGATTGGATTGCTCATGATTGCTCATGTCTTTATGCTTTACTCAACCCAAACCAAGAGAATCGTTACTCAGAGGATCAGGGCGTCCTCTTCATGCCCCTTGGGCCAAGAGAAAAAGGAACACAAGAGGCTGGGCTGCGGTGAGATGTGAGATGTGCGGTGCCGGTGCGACGTTCCCGGACACCGCGTCCGGGCGTCCGGGCTTCTGAAACTTGGACAGCGAGGCTTCAGCCACAGGGCTCCTGGCGTCGTGAAGGTGTGGAAATGAGTGATGCGGAGGTTGCGACAGTGAAGGTGTTCGCGACAGTTTGATGGTTTGCCTTCCTTTTTGGTGTGCAAAGAGATGAGCGATAGCTCCATCAAACACTCATTCAAACGGTACATGTTGCATCATTGTACCGTCATTACTTTGACGATTTGACTTTGGCGCAAAGCAAGATCTGCTTGCCGAGGCAACGAAACACATGAACTGCTCGGCTTCGGTCGCAGGACATTCGCAGGACATCCCGTCGTCGCAGGACATCCCGTCGTGGGTTTTTCATGCGAATCCCACCGCCCCACCGGGTCTCAGCGGTCCCATGTCCGGGCATTCTTTCCTTTTTGGAGAGAACGATGTGGTCCGCCCGCGGTCCGCCCGTCCTGATGTCCTGCTTGACTTTTCGCTGTCACCGACTCGCTTTTTTCGGTCACCGACTCCCGTCCGTTCTCCTTGGGAAAGGCTCTGGGCTTCGTTGGATCAGGCCCGCACGCAAGCCATTGGCAGTCTGCCGACGGAACCTCACGAACTCGTGGAGCATCGCATCTCTGGATCTCCAAGGGGCATGGAGGGGGCATCATCCGAAACGCCTTGAGGTTGTGGGCTGAGCAAAGAAACCTGTTTCACACATAAGGCGGTCTGCAACTGGTGCTGAAGATGTTCTCCGCCTATGCATCTTTACTGATGTCATTTAGCCATGGCCCGATAGTATAATTGCAACAAATTCGACAGCAAAGCACATTCTGTCACAGCCGAGTCCTTGCTCAATGCTGAACATTTTGCAAAAGCAGATTTAGATTCCACAACACAGTGACCAACATTTGCTGGATTACTTCTGTCCAAACATATAACAATATATAATATATATATATCATATGTATGTTGTAATATGTATATATATAATATAATATTATACATACATAGATACGTAAATAAACATATATATATATCAATTATACGATATATTTCATTCATTTTCAAACTTTGGACAAGAAATAAGAACAATCATACTTTGGAATGGCGAACATCCTAGCATTTTTTCTTTTTTCTCGAATGAGTTTAATAACTCCCCTTGGACTGATTTGAAGCGCCGAGACCCCCGGCGGGAGCCCGTTGCGGTACTTCAGTTCAAACCTCGAAACACGCGCTGCGAAACCGGCGCCCCGAAAGGCCGTCAAAAGGCCGTCGAAATCACCGGGCTTAAAGCGCAGCAAACCAGACCACTTCGCAGAAAGCATACGTATCATACGATGTTAACTTGGACAGTCTTTCTGAGACTTTAAGTACATCACATGGATACTCTGGGAGTTGGATTCATGTTACTGCAGCAGCTGAGTACATTGGTATGCAATGCTCAAAGATATGAAGCCAATGAAGCCTATCTTCGCCCAAATCCAAAGACAAAACCACTAGCCGCCGAACGCCAAACACGGCTCAAAGCTGGTTGTCGTCGAAAGATGCAAGACATCTTATTGCCTTGGAATCACCACACCATGCTAAAGAAGTTGGTTTTCCTCAAACGGGTTTTGTTCAGCAAAGGAGGCCTAATCGCTTTCCCAAGGCTTCCAACCTGTTGTCCCCCACACTTCCCATTTAGCATGCCTCCTTTTCACCTGCTCTCCATTGGAATCCAAATATAAAAGACATCTTAATTAATGACCTGTGGTTGAGGTACTGGGCACGGTATTTCTTCAAGAGTATCCACCTGAAAGCGTCTTAAACTTGCAAACCAACACACTCGATAACTAGATAATACTAGATACATCTACAAGTACATAACTGGTTCCTTCGAAAAAAATACACGGGTCAATTGGTTGGGCTCCAACTTCAATCCAAACCAGGCGCGTCCTGTCATTCGGATACTCGCTGGAAAAGTCCTGCGACGGACCTGTCATCGTCACCCACGGCATTCGGGTCTTGGTCAACACCCTGCGAGTCGTGGTTTCGCGTCGCAGTCAAGACGAGAACCGGTGTTCTTCTCACCGGTGCTTGCGCGATTTTTCGGGGCTCCCAGCTCACGGTTCTCTTTCCAGCTGAACACCTGCGGTTGGAGCAGTCTTGCCCAGCCGTCCAAATTCTCGTGGCAAAATGCCTTTTGTGCGAAAGGCGTCCAAATGTGCCCTTGCCTGCACAGGGATCTTCCCCAGCTGCAAGTGCTTGTAGGTAAACAGCCTTCGATTGTCCACACACCTCAATTCACAAAAAGAAACGACAGTAACATCAATGTAAGGCGACCGGGTGGGCCGTGTGCGGGGTGTTCCTAGCTCGTAGTGACAAGAACTAGTCACTTACTTGACGGTACTCGGGTTCAAACTTCGCCCCACTGGGGGCAGCTTCCTTGAAGAATATACTTTATTTTAGCAAATCATTTTTAGCCCGGCTTTTCTTCATTCAGTATGCTTACTTAAGTAGGCGCCTACTTACTTGGACAGCGCCAGTGCTAGTAGCTTAAGTAAGTTCCAGTGTTTTCGGTACTTCTTTCGTGCTGAGTTGGGCACCAGTAGGCGCCCTTCTTGGCCGCGACACGAATCAGTGGGATGTCCCAGGGCGTTTTGGCACCTGCCACCGGCAGCCCACCGTGCTGTTCAGCACGGTTTCACGTGGCTCTTCAGACCGGGCCTTGACGACTTCGACGCCGTTGTCGAACTCGAACTCGAACTCGACCGTGCCGGCGGAACCGCCGCCGGCGCACGGTCACCGACACGCAAGCTCGTGCCGACGAGACGGGATAGAGGTCTGAGACGCATCGGTGGACGTGTTCATCCGTCCGTTTCAATCCCAGCCGGTGGTCCACTTCGGTGCCGAGAACGAGGAACCGAAGAAATACGTAGGTCTCTTGGTTAGGGCGAAGACCAAGACGAAGGTCGAATCGTAGGAATGAGAGTGGGATAGAGTTGCGAAGGAAGAACGGTCTTGAGAAATCCACGCCCTATACATCCCTATATATGGTTCGGAAGCTTTCTCCAAAATCCAGACTCAGCTTTGAACTCTGTCAAGATCCACTTTTGTCTGCTATACTCTAGAGGGGATTGAATGCCCAAAACCAAGCGAGGGTATCCAAACCAAAACCCTGAGCGGGGGTTTGTCAAACTTTGGAGAATCCCCAAGCCTTGAGGCGGTATGTCAGAGTTGAGATCCAAGAATGTTGAGATCAGGTGTCAAGACTCAACGTCTCAAAGACTCTTGAATGGACATCCCATCACAGTCAATATACATAACATCTGAAACGCGAGCGTTAGACAACATCCAAACCCTTGAGAAGATATGTCACACCATTCTTGAGTATCCAACATTCTTGACACTGGGATGCTATCCAGTATTCAAAGTTCTGAACATTTGCCAGATTTATGAAAACAGCGCTTGAAGGGAGGCCGAAGCCAGTGTCTGAACATGCTATTTTTGACTATTTTGAGTTCTGTGACATGCTCGAACATCCAACACATGCAGGAGATAAGTCAGTCCATCCAAACGATCCAAATCCAGAAAGTTTGGCAACACCCAGAAGATCAAGCACCCTGATGTGAAAATATGTCTAAGACACACAGAATATCTCCACAGCATCCAAGAACTTTGTTTGGTCTTTCTCTCTCTCTCTGCTTGCCTTCCTTCGCACGCACACCCGCACACCTTGGCCCTGCTAGCGCCTGAGAGGATGGACTCCATCAAGTCCAAGACGCTGCCTGCTCGCTCCTGCTCTGCTCGGTCACTCACCAGGGCGAGCTGCGCTGCTGCGCCGCCAAGCTCGCTCCCGGTGACGGTCGAAACGGGGAGCGAAACGGGACGACGGTTGGTTTCGGAGCGATGGACGCCGACGTTCGGACTGGTTTTGAGGAGTTTTCGGTCGGTCAGATGGTTCCCCCCATGAAGACGTGCCCTTCACGAGTCCAAGCGACCGGGCAGAAGCAAAACGAGCAAGACGATGCCCTTTTCACCTCCAAGAAGGCCGGTGTATGTGGTTGATTTTCAAAGGGTGACAGGGCATGCCCTTTGCAAACAAACACCCCGCCACACCAAGCACAAGGAACATCCTTTCTGCTACCACCTTAGTGCCTTAGTAGTTGAATTGAGTGTAGTGTCACTAGATCTACTATCGACATCTTTCTTTACACCAGAGCGGTGGTCGCACATCTCCCGGTCCGAGTTGGCGTTGAAGGTGTCATAAACATGCTCCTCCGCAGGAGCGGCTGCCACCGCGTGGAGCGGGTGGAACGGCGCACACAAGCGGACCTTGATGGACCACAGTTCGTCCGTTGCAGTTTGAATCTGGTTGATCTCAAAAGGTGTGCCTTTTCGAATAGGTGCTGTGAGGACGGCATGATGGATCCATAGGCGAAGATGGATCCATCGGCGACGCGTTTGTTGTTTGTTTTCTGCCCAACATCGGAGGAACTGTCTGTCCCAGTTCCTTGCACTTTCGAGCACATGTGTGCACTAGTATATATATATATACCCTGGGAGTCCAACACCATTTTTAAAACGGTCTTTAGGTGATCCGAAAAGGAACTTCCTTTACTTGGGTGGTGCCTAAAATAGTCTTTGGACTTCTAGGGTATATATATATATATATAGAGGTGGGATCATCCTATAATAACACAATACTCTGGGTCTATCCTATTTCAAGTAACAGTGGATGATGATGGTTAGTCAAGGCCTTTCTCATAAAGATTACGGTGATACCTGTTTACTGACTGTTACAGGTAAGTTCGGACAGACCCAAAGAATACTCATCTTCGTCCTGGGCCCCTCGTTAAACCTCGAGTAACTCAATCTCGCGAAGGCGCTCCGCAGATGTCGAGTTCCTCGACCTCACGAGGCCTTTACGATGTGCAAGCAGGTTATACAATCTACGAACTCACGAATGTTCTAGAACACGCAAAAACCCTATACTATACGGTTCGAAGAGTTCATGCAGGTCCCCAGCTTCACTGGGAACTCTAGCACACTCAGATCATCTTGCATCCCCAAACGGGCACGCCGTATACGCGGTTTCAGGAAGAACTGGCTCACCATTTTAACCACCTTCTCATTCTTCGTAGGGAAACCACATGGAAAAAACGACCCCGCTCCCGCTCCATCCCCCCCCCCACACACAAGCCATTTGGGTCGGCCGACCCACCGCACTCCGGCCCCCGCTCCGGTCGGCCCGGACGCGGCTCCTGCGTGAAGCGGATCTCTCCGACGTCCATCAACCGCGTGACCATGGCGGCGACGGTGACCGGTGTCGCCGTCGGAAGCACATCGGATCCGATGTGCTTCCGACGGCGCGTGGCTGTCGTCAGTGGAGAGTTCAGTACACCACACAACCTGGTTTAGTTCCGAATCTCGTTGTTTTGTGCGGAAGGCATTCGATGGCAGGATGTTTGGACAATTCAACATCGCTGACTTTGGATGCTGGCGGGGGCTGACTTGAAAACAAAACGTGTGCACATCTGCAGCATGTATCCTGATGAAGTGCAGCCGAAAAGGCCTGCAACTTGCAAATGCAGGGTGAAGGCAAAACCTGGTGTTGTTGGTGACTTTCCAAAACGAGAAGAGCCAAAAGCTTGGAATTCCAACCTACCAGGGTTTTCATGTGTTTGCTACTCCTGTGATGATGGAAGCCCACTTACTCCACCCAAGCGGAGGACGCAGTCCACCTGTGAAAAGCAAATGAGGAATTGAAACCGATCGAAACCTTCGGAACCGTTCTTCCTTCCTTTCATCTTTTCCATTTCGGTCTTTTTTCTTCAGACCTTCTGCTTTGTTCAAAAGACCCTAGAGATCGATCCGTCAAGGAGTCGACCCCTGAAGGAATCAGCACCTTCCTTTGAGTGGGATGGGCCCAAGTCCGGGAAAAGACGGTGCTCAGCTGGTCAAAGATATCATCTGTAGCATGAGTGGTGCATGTTTTTAGGTCTGAGACAACATTCAGATGCGTCAAACGAGGGAAGCAGTCCGAAGTAGTGGATGCAAACTTGTGAATAAGACACAATAAAACGTAATGGATCTGTCAAGGGCTCCTCCCCGATCTCAAAGACATGGCCACTTTGATGAGAGAAATAATTGTAAGGAAATCCCTTGGAGATGAATATACCATGTATTACCTTCTTCCCTGATCATAGTCAAAATATTGTCAAAATGGATTCCACCGATTCCACCTGCATTGGCACTGCCACCACTCACCACTTCAAGAGAAGGGTGGAATCTGATACTACCTGTATCTTTCTCACCCAATCTCACCGAAGTTCACCTTCGCCAGGAAGCGCAGTAACTTGCGACCGGCGCAGGAGACACAAGTTCGGCACCGTCCTTTTCATGCAAAAAGGAATGGGTTCCGATGCGTTCGGGGCCTGGTGGTGGGCCTGGTGCCCACGACCGATGTCTCCGCCGAGGTTGGGGACGAGATTTCTCTGTCTTCGGCCGAGGAGTTCCGAGATTCGACGCAGTGACGAGCTTTTTCTTCCAACAAGACATGCATATTTACGATATTTACTATCCCTCAAACTAACATAGAACCAGAGATTTGACCGGTGGAAGATCATTTGCCTCTACGCCCAATGGTTTTGGGGTTCCATGTTAATCTGCAGGGGAGTATAGTTCCGGACTGAAAGATAGAACCCCCTACGTGTGGACCGTCCGTCCGTTTCTACGGTGTACACTTTTTCACCCCATATACTTTGGGGAGATCTCCTGTTCAATCCCAAAGCATCCAATGGTCCAACATCCAACAAAGCGTAGGCAGCGGTTCTCCATGAATTCCATATGGACAAAGGAAGAAACAGTGAAGAACCCCCACTCCTTCAAGACTATGAGACTCTCAGTCTCGCCTGAGAGTAGGGTGTAGCAGTGGGTACTGACCTTCAACCGGTCCGCTGTTCCGGCTATCTCCACTCCAGGGAATTCCAACGACCAACCCGGAAAAGGGCCGAACTCCGGAGCCAACCGACCCCCAAGGGGTCTACAGATGAAAAAGATATGTGTCGTTGTATGACAACCATCTGCGAAACACCATCTTTGACAAACCATTTTGGAAGAACCATCATTATGTCGTGAAGAACCCAGAACCATGCAACCAAACAAATAGAAAATGGCCGCAATGTGCCACCGTTTCTTTTTCCCCCCTTCTTTAAACGACACCACGACCGCCGGAAGGACGCCTCCCAACCTCGGGACGCGCGGGGCATTCGTCGCCCTTCACCCGTCTGACGGGGCATTTGTCGCGTGGTGAACTGTCGTCCGGCACTGGACGGGGGACGAAGTCGTCGTCCGTCGTCATAGACGGTGCTGGTCAAACCACGTGGTGAAGTCGTCTGGTCATCTTTTTGAACAGAAATACGGTAATTATTTCCTCATGGAACATCATGGAAATACGAGGCAGAAAAATGTATCCACTCCAATTGACCCTTCCACCTTCCAGGTTTCAATACGGGATCTATGTGCACGTAAGTATAGCAATTTATAGCAATGCTTGAAGCTGCTGAGCATCCCTCCAAATTGGCCGACGATTCTCAGCTGCAACGAATTGTTCACTTTACGATGTGTCCCTCGTACGAAGATGAGTCGTCGAATACTCAAAACCCCAAAGAGAAGCATCGTAGCTGAAGACTTCATAACCCCGTTTTGTATTGTTTTGTGCCATGAAGATGAAAATACAAACGATTTTGATTGGCCCCCCAAACCAGAAGGTCTAAGCCAGAAACGATGCGTCACGTCATTCTTCAAGGCCTTTTTCATGTGTTATGTGTTGTTTTTCCCGGAATTGTGCTTGCGGTCAAAAGTTGCACAATAAGCATCAAAGTCAAAAGCTCAAAGAAAAAAACACAACCACACCGGTGTGGTGAGAGGCGTGTCACACCGAACATCTTGAAATGACCATGACTCAGTCACTTAGACTACTATATAATACTATATATAGACTTCAGGTTTTATCACGAACTGGACATGACAGGACTTGGTGATGGAACTCTCTCTCTCTCTATAAGAACTCATCCCCTTCCACCCGTTGCACCGTCTCGACTTGGCCGTGGTCGCCGTGCACGCCCCGGGACAGACCGACCACGATCAACCGACGGGGCGCACCGAGACCCGGAGAACGTGGGCAAGGCTGGAAATGAGTCGAAATGGACTGGAAATGAGCTCAGTCCTCTACCTACCAGCGACACCAAGAGGTTGGTCTTTTCTTTCTTCCCTTGAACAATGAAAGGCGCCTCGCCTCTTAATAGAGGTGACTGGGGGGAGGTCCCAAAAGAATCTGTGAAGGAAGGTCCTCTACTTGGGACTTCGGGAAATCGTTGTGATGTTTCTCTGGTGTCGATCCCCAATCACTTTTGGTCGATCGGCCATTTGGCGACAAAGGAATCGGGCCGTTTCTGAGGTTCCATGGATTAAATGTCATGTCTGAATCCAAATCCACTGGTGCCGGCAACCGAGTCGGAAGCAAAGACCAGCTTCACACAGCCCGGCGCAGCTGCACCTTTCTGGTGCACCTTGGAGCGGCCCGGTCGAACAAACACCGAAACTGAGCCGGGCTCAGGGATTTGGCACATACGATTTTGCTATTAAAACTCATTGGGATTGGGGAATCACTGTAAAGCACATGAACCGGTTTTGCTGGGAGTTCGTGCACCATTGCAAAAATCCTTTAAGGTCGAGCACATACTACAATGATCTAGAATGCATAAAAACAAATCTTTAAGTGTGTGGGTGATCAATACGCCAGGGGCCAGGACATGTTGTTGCTGAAGGGGCATTACTGGTTGAAATGGTGGGGCTCGAACTTTCTTCCGAAGGAAAAACATTAAACACTGAGGAGCCTTTTCCAGTGGCCTCCAACAGTCCCGAAACCTTCAATTTTGCATGGAAACTATAAGGTGGAGCCACAAAACCTGCTTGCGTTGCTGGTCCGTAACAGCAAATACGTACAGTGCAAGGGATGGTATCTTGCAGCACATATGAATTGGTGCGGTAACCTGAGTGGGTGCAGCTATCCCACCAAGAATCTTATCCGGTTCAATACAAAGCCTTTCTTTTCATCATTCTTTCAGGCGGCATCCAGGTTTACCTGGATGAACCTGGAACCCATTTTCACGGCGCTTGGTGACGTGCTACTGCGCGGTCACCAGCCGACACCAGCACCACTCCGAACGAACCTCACTCGGTCACTCATCGGGCCAAACGACCAAGGACCAAGGACGAAACCGCTAACCCAAACCGCTCAGGGCGGGAAGCCAACGCGTCGTGGGACCGGATCTCATCGTCCTGCCTGGCGAGGAGGGCGCGGGATGGGCGCGCGGAGAGGGAGTGAGAGGCCAGAGAGCGCTTGGTCACAGAACTCGAGACAAGTGACAATGTAAACACTGATGAATGCAATATGATGAATTTCTTCTGAATGCTGCCCATTTCGAAGGTGGCGAGGTCTGCCTGCGTTGCTTCACTCCGTCAAGGTTCACCCCGGTGGGCGGCGAATTCGCGCCTTGGCCACCGCCTTGGCTGCCGGTGCGACCTGCGGCGGGACCTCGAAAGGCATCCGGAAAAGCTCGGAAAATGGGTACCATAGCGATAGAGCAATGGCCTCCAACCTGAGAGCAATGGGTATCGGATGGTACTGTCGTACCATGTCGTACCTGCTTTCATATGGGTCATGTCAGGCTGTATATGTATTATATGTATAATATACATACCTAGGGATCCCAAAGGCTCCAGTCAGTGGGTTTGGAGGGTCCAGGGTCCAGTCATACCTTCTGAGTCTGTAATTGGAGCACTATGCAGACGCAAACCGCAAACCCGAATCCTCTGGAGGGACCGAGGGGTTGAGCCAATCCCAGACAGGTTTTGAGGGACAAAAAGGGCTGTGAAAGGAGCCTCTGGGAAAAAACACATCGATCCTCGAACAACTTTCCCTGCATGGAACACATCGCCTTTTCAGCTTTCGCTGTACCCTCCTGGTACACTCCTGGAACCTTTAATTTTCAACACATCCAAAAAAATCATTCAAACACCGAGACTTCAACTGTTGGACTGACCCCACCTGCGAGCTCACGTGGGAGGCCATGCGGAAGACCTGGAAGCCAGCCTCGCAGCCGGCGGGTACTGACTGCACACAGGACGGTTCAAAGGCCGCCATTTGGGAACTTAACCGCATATTCTCACTGCACCGTCCAAAATCCGAAGTTTGGAGTTGATAGTTCCCCAAAAGCGATAGCTTGCGGTTGTCCACTCTTTAAGCCTGGGCGGTGGTCTCCCGGAGTCTCGGTCATGTTTAGGTGGTGTCTCGGTCATTTGAAGGAAGCGTCTTGGTGATGTTTACGTGGTCTCTCGGTCATGTTTCGGTGGTGTCTTGGTCATGTTTAGGTGGCCTCTTGGTCATGTTTAGGTGGAGTCCATGTTGCGTGCTGGCGCTTGAACATCATGTCCCGCCTAAGGTAGAGATTATGCGTCGACATCTACAAAAGACTGGTTCGCTTGAGAGGAACATCCTTTTGGTTTTGTACAAAAGTCTTAGGTGGCTACTTAGTAACTGTGTGCTTGGCGTAGGACGAACTTATGCGTTTGTCCTTCAATACATTTTCCTCTTCCTTTGGGGATAACCATAGGTTCGTGTCGTCTGTATGAACCATAGGTTCGTGTCGTCTGTATGAACTTTTATACTTTATGTTCTCTGTTCGAGCAGGGATTGTGCGGCAAAATATTGAAAAACCTCTCTGTGCGAATCTCATGTTGTTGTGTTGTATTGAATAGGTTCTTCAGATGTAAGGACTTTGCGCAGGCGCTCGAACAAGCAAACATTTGTCAACGGAACATGCGTTTAGCTTGGGGATTGGACTTGTGTGTAATTTTGGCGCCCAAATTTTACGATTGGTTTCAACATGTTTTGGTGTCAGTAGAAAGTGATTTTCGACGTGCGCAAATATGCTTGCTTGACACTGCGTTCTTGCATCGTTCGTGTACATCCACGGTAATTATTCTGTTTACTTTCGATAAGCGTCGTCTTTGCTTGTCAATACTTTGTAAAAACAATGCACGTGCGTGTCCAAAGTATATCTTCCATGGTGCCAGAACTTAAAGTATGGTCTCTCTGACAACTGCATTCACTGTACCTTTCGTGTATGAAGTATGCGTTCGTCTTTAACTGCATTTTCTACCTGGTTTGGTGATAATATCTTCTTATCATCTGGACGATCTTATTCCTTTCATTCTTTGTCAGAATTGAACTTGCACGCATATGCGAACAAAATATACGCACACCTCTCTTTGGTGCGAATCGTGAGTTGCGCTGTATAAAATTGGTTCTTCAGACGTATGCACCATGTGCAAACACTTGAGCACTTGAACATACAATTCGGCCATCGGCGAACATTCCTTAAGTGGTAAACACTATTGGACTATTGGAATGCATTTCACTTTTTTGTCCTGTGTGATAGAACGAAAAACATCGAACAACCAGGCTCCGAGGGCAGTTTGCCCTACTATAGAATCACATATCAACCTCCTGCTGTGCTGCAAACATGTTCTCTATAGAATGAGGTGCCTCAGGGTATGGGTGTTCATCATCATGAAAAATTGATAAACAAATTTGGAAAATCAATGATGCATAGCCAAGGTTGGTATTGATTCTATGGAAAAGTGTGGGGAACACTGAAGGTTGAAATTGCTTTTAGAAAAACACTGGGCCAAAGTGGCCCAAGAGGTTGGTTTGATTTTATAGAGACATGTTTGGACAATGCAGGGTTGAACATTATTTTAGAAACATATTGGACAGGTGACATAAGTGGCCCAACAGGTTGATTTTGATTTTGTAAAGACATGTTTGGATACAAATGTTGGCCCATGTGTAAAACATGATTTTATAGAGGGGTTATTTATCACATGTTAGGACCTCTATAAAATCTGGTGACATGGCAAGCCCTCTCTATAGAATGACATGTCGGTACCCATTTTGCCAGAAGAAACGGACATTTTTGGCCCCGATGTTTAAAATGGAGTGTTTTTTCAGGTAGGTTGATATTTCATTCTATAAGAACATTGTCTATAGAATCTGAGGGTCATTTTGAGCTCAAGCTCTCAGATTCTAAGAGTTTATTCCGCAGGCTGGGAATCCTTTTTTGTTTTTTTCTTTAAAAGAATTGTCCTCGATGATCGATATGTGAAAGAACGACGCAACGAACAACGCAGAAAACATGGATCTGGTGGATGCTTTGCTATTGGGGTTGTCAGCTTGGTCAATTTTGAAAGAGTGTTGCCTTTTTGATGCATTCTCTTGTCTTTGAAAATCAACTTGACGTTCAAAGCTCATTGCCGATTTCGATATTTGTGGGAAGGACCTAATTGCATCCTTAATTTGAAATTAGATGCATGGTGGCCGCAGCAAACATTCCCCAACAGACTGGAGCTGGCGATGGGGAAAGATTCATCTATCCTCGTCGCTGTAGGGGGCCACGCAGGGAACTAGCTTTGGATCCTAGGCGGTCAATTGTTTTGGGGCCGATGTCATCCTGTTTGTGGGGATGGCAATACTCTTGACTCTTGGCAACAAAAAGGAATTTGATCATATCATCTTATACCATATTGCTTGGGTCTATCCCATTGCAAGTACCAGTGACAGTGGATGATGTTGGTTATCAACTATTACAGGCAATAGGACAGACCCAACATACTGTACAGAATCAAAGCCACACCCCTTCCTGTAAAAAACACATTGTGAAACATATCCACTTGTGATTTTAAGCTGATCGGATGAAGAACTGTACTAACATGCCACGACTGAGGGTTGAAACTTGTGCCTTGAAAGCTTTTGGCTTATCCACTTGCAACCCTGCCCCCCCAATTCCTGAGGCATGCCGTGGCCGCCATGTCCTGCGGTGAGCCGCGCTTGGACGGTCGTTTTATCTATTTTTTGCAGCTGAAGGGATTCGGAAGGAGCATCGATGGCTCAAACTTCTCAATATTTCTACCACTCGCCAGGGTTCTCAGACAACCTTTGACACGATTTGATAGACGTGACAACCACTGTGTGAGTCAGTGTGAGTTGCAGCTTTTGTGTCAACGTTGCATTACGCAAGATTTCATCGTTCACTTACAGTAGATCACGAAGATTTATGGCAGTTGAAACCACTTCTCAAAAGCTCATCCGGGTGAGGAACTCTCTATGTGAACCCCCTCCACTTTCGCTAGGTCGCTTCTTGACCTTTCTCAAACACCCCAAGCCCGGCCAAATCCATTGTCCCTCTCCCCTGCTTTTGGCCGCTCGCTTCGCTTTGCCACATCTTCCTTCAGCCAGCTGCCCCGCCTGCGCTTTGCACCCCTTGCGGCACGCCCTGCGGCACCCCTTGCGGCATGCCGCCGCAGGGCACCGCACCTTGCGGGACGCCGCCCTGCACCACCTGGGCCAGGTGGTTGATTGCAGGGTAGGGCCGCGCCTGCGGCCTGTGGAGGCATCGATGGGGGGCAGCTGAAAGGCCAAGTAGCTGATCAACAACGAAGTAGGCGATCGCGGGTGAACAGTCCAGCGGCGCATCCCCTCAACTTGTGTTTATCATGTATTTGTGTATAAATATATGTAAGGAAAAACGGAGTTGGTGCCAATACCCATATTTTTTGACAAACTACACATTTTAACCGAGCTACCTTTGCAGATGTGATTAATTATGCAATTGTACAGGGATTAAATGTCTACTTGAGACTACCACCCTAGCCAATGTCAAAACGAAGCAGCTGGAACCCAAGCCAGACCACACAAAGATGTGGGAACAATACATCTGCGAACCTTCACCCCTCACCAAAGCAAACAAACATCATTCCAAAGAAGTATATACTTGAGTATACACAACCGCGTCATTACAGTAAACCTAAGAAAAACCCTCGCCGTGCCGCGATGTTCTCCCAATAGCGCATCTGAAAGCCCCATCTTATCATGTTTGATGGTGGCCAACATGTCGCCTTGGGTATAGCTTGCTCCTTCTTGAACGCGCCGTGGGTCCTGGGGTACAGTAGATGTCCCGTGCCATGGGCCCAGGCTTCGCACCGGCCACTCCAGCGGATCAACGGGGGGTGAACGGCGCCGATCGGGAGAGAAGGTTGAACAGGCTGATAGCCCACAGACATCCACAGACCAGGGTGGTCCTAGTTCAGGTCTCTGAACCGTCGAAAATCCACCTTTTGGCCATCCAAATCTTCCAAAAGCTTGCTATGGGGTGTCAGTGGCTTAGAAGTTGCTTGGGGTCAAGGTCTGGCCGGATCAATAACAGCCCCCTGGCTCAGAACCGCCAAACAAGGCTAGCATCTGCCACGGCCGGCGAAGTGTGCGGATGGTTGATATATGATATAGAGAGGACCTAGCTTCCATGTGGATCACTCCGCTTCACTCCACAGCAGTGCTTCCATGTGGGTCCAAGAAGCAGTGGAGGTTTCGGTGGGTTTCACTTCTTTCGCTGAAGACACCTCCACTGCTCGTGGTCTCCACGTGTGGACAACGCAGCCGACAGCGAAGCGGCGACCTCGAGACCCATCGACTGCGCATTGCGGAGATGGGTTCCACCCAGCGACTGCGTGGCTTTTGGCGCATGGGACCAAGAAAGTCCTCCAAATTCCTGGTATGGGCGACTGGTGCAACCCTTCACACTTTCTTTAGATGACCAAAATCAGTCAAGCTCAAAAGGAGCAAAAGATCCAGGTATTCAGAAACTAGACCCTTAACTAGGCAACTAAGGGAAACTCCTCTTCCGGAACATGTCCTCTCCAAGTCCTTCTAAACATTCTAAACGTGCTCGCAGCTTCCTTGAACCAGCCACCACCACCTCTTCCAAAAATACGGCCCCAAAAAGGACGCGACGCTTTCTGGGGTGCGTCCTGCGCCCTCATCTTCCTCATCTTCCCGAGCTCCGCCCAAGCTCCGCTGCCGCAGAGCTCCGCTGACTAGGCATCCCGGACTTGCCGCTGTGGGAGTTGCAACGAGTGCCGCGGCTGGGGCTGGGGACTCGGCCCTCGGCGTGTTCGCCGAGGCGCGGCGCGTCGGCTTTGGTCGGTGGAGAGCGAGATGAGCCGAGAGGAGCCGTGTTACTAGTGTCCTGTGTTACTAGTAGCATCCTTGCTCCTAGTAGTAGTGGCCTCCACCTACCGGGTTCCTTTTCTTCTTCGCACAACATCCAAGAAAAGGAGTTGGTGGTTGAGAACTCTTTCCCCGTGGGGCCTCAGTGGGATTGTCTTGTTATTCGTTTTGTTTCTCTTGGTGGAGAGTCCGAAACACGTGATGTTCACGAGAGATGCCCAAACCTCAAGTCTCAAGGGATTTCCAGAAGCCTTTCGAGCGACATGCAACGACACGACGACATCACGGTGACGTGGGGTCACGGCCTTACCGAAAAAGAAGGACGAAGCCCCGTGGGGTCACTGGGACTCTGACCCCCTTAAGGCTGTAGCTGGGAGGCTGGGAGGCCCTAGCCGAGGAATAGAGCTGCTGGAGTGGCTGGGCGCACATCCCCATCACCAAAAGTGGGGATAAGCACGTGTCGTCAGGTCCACTAGAGGGATCCATTCCCCTAGAAGTCGTGGCCCATCATTTCTGAACAACCATATTGTTTTACTGCAGTAAGGGTTTTCCACTACAAAACCAGATCGGTCCCATTTTCGAAATGGTCGGACTGCCGGATTTCCATATAAATATAGCCCTTATCCAATGATTCCAACAGAGCATTGCTCCCCCAAAAACGTGTCTTCACCGCCCCTTTTGTTTTGGGACACGTCGTTTCCTCCGTTCGAACAGGTCCTGGGACACGGCCAAAAACCCTTCGGTGACACCGTCGATCATCTTGGGAGACACCCAGTGTCTTCCGTTCCGTGTGCTGTGGATGTTTCCACAGAAAGGAAGAGGGAGGATGGGAACAAACCCAGGGGCCCCAATGGTTAGAGGGTTTAGGGTTGTTTAGGGTTTAGGGAGGCTCTCTATCGGATGTCATCTCCACACATTGCTCCCGCACGAAACGCGGCCCCTGCCTGCGGCGGCGGACCCCACAAAGCTGGCACCCCGGCCCTTGGCAAAGGTCACAGGTTGGGGAACATTCCTTTCGCGACGCCCATGTGTCTCACAGCCCATGCCTGGAAGTCTTGAAAGAAAACTCACTACCTGGACCTTCAAGGGGTGTCCTGTCTGGAGGTCCCTTAGTAGTTTGGGGGCGAAACCAGCCAGGTGACCACTTGGAAGGTGGTATAGGACACAATACGGGCTTTGGGGGGGGGCGAAACACAAGTATCGAAGATAAATCCAAGAAAGAAACAAGGGCTGTTCATTGCATCGGTGAACATCCACAGGTGCTACATCGGGAAAGGCCCCTGTTTTTCATCCATGTGGTGAAAACTAGCAGACTAGCACGACTCTCTGCGTGAGTCTAAGAGTTCTTCAATCACCCACCATGGTTGCCACTGAGATGGGCCCGGCTGGAAGGATTTACCTCTCTGGTCTCAGTTCCAGTCGGCTGTGACGCCGGAAGTGGGTGGGTAGATGTGGGTAGTAACGGCTGGACGGCACTGCGCTTCGTAGGTACTGTGCCCCTGGGTTTCCATCTGGAGTCACCATCCCGAACTCTCCGCAGGCGCGCACAAAACCTCTTTTTTGCGACGCAAAGATAGAAGACGCGTCACCCTTTGGTCGAGGCATTTGTGCGGAGATATATTGATAACATTTGATAACATAACCCCCAGCAGTGGAAGGTGTCGTTGAGAGGAATGAAGAACATCAAAAAATCGTTCAGTGCTCACAGGACAAGGTTTCAAACTTTACAGTAATTTTACCAGAAACTACAGCAATCATCCCCTTTAGTTGATACATTGGGGTGGTGTATGACGTTTTATAAACACTTAGACTTAGCTGCTATAAAAAAATCTAGCTCTTTCCATCGCAAAGGAACACACTGCTTGGAGATCTCCAACGATGCGCAAGTCGATGCGCGCATGTCGCGTGTTCGAGCATCGATCGAGGGAAGATCCTCACCTGTAAACCCCTTCCTCCCAGAAAACGGTTGTTCTGACCATTTTCTGAGAGCAAAACAGAGCTTATATAGTGGCTGAACATACCCGGAGACACATCTGTCTGTCGACCTGTTTCTGGTTGGGACTGGGGGTTCCCCTAGGCAAGTCTCTCGTTGGGACAGGTATCATACCTGTTTTTGCCAGGAGTTCGATCGACCACAACTGGCATCGCAACGAGCGGCTCTCTAAAGCCTTTGGTGATCTGCGACCGAGTCATTTCCTGCTGGGTCAAGTGGACATCGATCCTGTTTCAACTCAGAGGTCCACTAATTACAACCCATTTCTTGCGGTGAAATAAAGGCACATCGTGCGGTGCTTTTCTTTCAACTGCGCATGGACGTTCGAACCCAACACGGTGTGTTTGGTCTCCATCTGCTTTGAATACCTTTCAGTTTGACTCGGAACCGACCCGACTCCGAGGTTGGTGGGTCCCGGAACCTGAAGACCGGAGTACCCCGAAGGGCCCCCCTCCTCGTTTTTTCGCGCTGGGAAGATCCCCATCGATGTGGAAAGTCCCTTTCTTTCGCAAAGCGGTGCTGTGGCTTCGACGCGATGCGATGCCGATCCAAGGCCCGTTTCCGCCCCATTGGGGTCCACCGGTCTGAAAGGGTCTGAAAAGGGCGCCTTTCGGCACCTCACCGAGCTTCGGTGGAAACGAGTGGGCGCCCAACCGCCGCGACGTCCTGAAAACACTCACGTCCTATCGCGATGGAGGCACCATCGCAGACTGAGTCCCTCCCTCGCAGAAGTCCTCGGTCATGGGCCACCACAATGATTGCACGGCTGAAGCCATGGTATTCTGCCGGGCAGAAACCCAGAAGATATGGTAGTCCATTGCCAAGCATAATCATAGGTCATCGAAAGTTTGACAATCACATGCTATGACGCTTCAACTTCTCTCATTCTGGGCCAAAGCAACGCTTTTGTTCATCTTTTTTCCCAATGCACCATCACACCTTCGATTTCAGCACATGTCTCATCACTGTGAACCAATGCGACCCGTGTTTCTGGTGGCCTTTTGCTGCCAGTGGACCTAGCCAAAAGAGCCTTGGCAACCCTTAGAGTTGGGAAAAACAAGCGGGGTCGGGTCATTGAGAGGATCCCCATTTCTCGCTTGAGTCTATGCCTTTGTACCATCTACTCAAAAACCATTCTGAGAGTCCCCCATGGCCTCAGGACTCTTTCAAACTCGTTTTGCCAGGCTGCAGCGTGGAACTGCGCAATGATCGTCGCCGTGAAGGTGGCCCAGAAGGGCAAAACACCAAAATTCTTCTCGCCGTAGAGAAAGGTGAAGTTCTCACGCAACTTCCAGCCTGACTGATTTCGCGAGGTCAACGTGCAACCCGCTAGAATCTAGAAAACCATGCGACCTCTGCGACCTTTCAGATCTCTGAATTTACTAGACTGATTGAAGAGTCACCCCACAAACTTGGCCCCAACCTTGCGAACATGGCAAGCACATGTTAACATTCCCGGAACCTACGCGAAACGGGCGAAACGGGCGACACATGGCCAGGAAACCCGACGCTCTGTTCGTTGGGTTTGCCGCCCAGACACATGCGTCCTTGACGGTGCTCTGCGCGGACGGCACTGGATTGGGCACAGGGACCACCGTGATGTTCCCAGTCCATTGGTCGCCACGGCTCCTCGGCGTGGGGAAACAAACAAGCTACTATCCACCCACTCCACGTGTTTCCCGTTGAAATGGTGGAATCCTCCCATTCGTCCCTCAGACTTCGAAAGATCCACCACCACGAGAAAAACCGGTAGAAAACACATCCATATCGGAAGTTGAACAGTGGAAGGACTACCAAAAGGTCAATGGAGAAGAATGGACTCCAAAACAACTTCACCTGGACACTCCACCAACCACGACCTCGGTTTTGGTGGTTTCTAAATCGACTTCCTCGTTCACGTCCAAGTCCGAAAAAACAAGCGGAGATCAAGGAAGAAACTCCCGGACCAAGTCGTTGGTCCATTTTTTTGCCCTAAGAACAACGACCTGAAGGCCAACGAGTCCAAAGGCCAACGAGTGGGCTGGAGCCCTGTGGAGCCTCTCCACCAGTCGCCTCGACCCACATCTATCTACACCCTGCCTCATCTGTGCCCACACCATGAGCTCCAATTCTTGCTCGGTGATCTGTCGGCGTTGGGGATGCACCTTGAAATCCCAGCGCTCCAAAACGGCACTCACCAAGTTCTCCAGCACTTCCGCCACGAAGATCGCACCGATGGCCTGAGAAAGACTATATATACTTAAAGGTTCAAGGCGTTTAGTATTTGGATGTGCTGCTTAGTGCTACTTAGGAAGTAGCCTATCTTGAGATATAACTTCTGTACGTGAAGATATAAATGACTTTTCTATGACAACTATTTATCATCACTTCCTATCTATGACGCATCAATTACTTTGTGTTGTAACTATGTAAGCTACTTACTATCTAATCCGCCGACCCCACACCGTGGGGTGAGGCGTGACTGTCGATGTTAGCCGTAGGCTTAAGCCTTAGCCTTAGCCTTAAACTCAGACTTGGACGTAGCCTTAGCCTTAGACCTTACCTCCCCTACCCCTCCGGACCTTTGTTGCAGTGACGAATCTCGACCCAAAAGCGACGTGATAGCTACGTGATTTGACGTGATTGCGACGTGATTACGACCGGAATTGACGAGATTGCGACGTGATGGTCACCTGGATTGTCCAAGATTCTGCCATCCCAATTGATTTACATCTTGGGACACCCTCTCCACCCGCGCGGGAAAATAAGCACGGTCCAAAATGGTCCTGGGCTCGAATCCCGGGCTGGTCGCGGCGTGGTCCCGGCCAGTGCCCTTGCTTTTTCGTAGATGTTGTAACGTTTTCTGTTGGACTTATGGGATTTTCAAAGGCTTTTCTAGCATTGTCCTAGGAATGCTCTAGGCTTTGTCTAGATTTTGTTATGTTTGCGTGGTCCCGGCCAGTGCCCTTGCTTTTTCGTAGATGTTGTGACGTTTTCTGTTGGACTTATGGGATTTTCAAAGGCTTTTCTAGCATTTTTCTAGGAATGCTCTAGGCTTTGTCTAGATTTTGTTATGTTTTCGCTGGATGCTTTTCCAAGAATTTTCTAGCGCATCGCTTGCATCTAGCATTTTCCTAGGCTTTGTCTGGATTTTGTTCTGTTTCTGCTGGATGCTTTTCCTAGAATTTTCTAGCGCTGACTCTTGTTTGTAGGTTCCCAGATTTCTCCCAAAAATTGGTAACCTTTTGCTAACCTATGGAACTTTCAAAGGCTTTTCCAATATTTTCCTAGGAATGTTCTAGGCTTTGTCCAGATGTTGTTACGTTTTCGGTTGGATGCTTTTGCCAGAATTTTCTGGCGCTTCCTCTTGTCTTTAGGCTCCCAGATTTCCCACCAAAATTGTTAACCTTTGGCTAAACAATTTTATGCCAGTGTTCCCGGCCAATGCCCTTGATTTTTCCTATATTCCTCTTGGCCGCACTTAGATTTTGTTACGTTTTCGACTAGATGCTAGGAATGCTCTAGGCTTTGTTTATTCGGGAGGGTGCTTTTCCAAAAGTTTTCTTGCATGTCCTCCTGACTTAGGTTCCCAGATTTGCAGCAAAAATTGTTAACCTTTGGCTATTATGCCAGTGTTCCCGGCCACACACGGGGCCCCTTAGACAACGACAGGATTATCGTGAAAAAAAAAGAGACAGTCCTCTATCGTGGAACCCACCTTTGCAGTTTGGCCTGCGAGGGGTCCTCGGCGATAGAGTGTGCCTGGACAGAGGGACATAGACGCGGACTCGTCGGTGAGGAACGCATCATCATCACCACGGGGTTCATGCAAGAGATCACGTATGGTAAATCTGGGAGGTACCCAAAAAGTCGACTTTTTGGGTACCTGCTTTGGTGGTGATGGGTCTCAACTCTTGGGCAATGATATCTTTTATGGGGTGAAGGGTTCAGCATCACGGGGTTCATGCAAGAGATGACGTCCGATGGTAAATCTGGGAGGTAGTCAAAA